CCCGTGTACATTAAAGTGCATATTCATTGGACAACCGTAGCTTGAGTGCGGGAGCGATGGAAGAAGAGTTGAAACTCCCGCAAGGGAAAGCGCCGAGCAAATGGACAGGTATCGAATAAGTGATAGGTATCGTCGTGTCTAAGCACGGTGTTTTAATGTGTTCCTAAACAACAAGATTATGTTTTATTATGTTTATTCGCAATAATATCAGATGGTGAGACTGTAGTACAAACACTCTTTTGTGAATCACATGCCGGCTGACACAACTTGAATACATGTATTTTTCAGAACTAAGGGTGAACATGCAGAACTGGTCTGGGATAAAGTGTGGCCGCATGCCACGCGCATGGTCCGGAATTCTGACCGTGGCTTGGACCATTGATATCGTCTGTGAGCTCCATCCCAGAAGTTCCATTTTTATCGTTCAAAAATAGGCGAGAAGTAGGCGCTGAGAACGTAGTAATCACTAACAACCTCCCGGTGGGTTCCCAAAGGACTATTCCGTGGTGTGGAAGAAGGAATGGCAGAGAAATCCTGTTCCATGATAGTATCCTTTATAATAATAGTATTCAAAGTGGATTATTAGCTGCCGAAGCGCCACAGTAACTTTAATGAGTTGCTACCTTCACGAGAGATGGTTACAAGGGTGATCACGAAAAAGTGTCCGAGTGTATTTCTAATTGGTTAGCGCTTACGTGGCTTTCTATGAGCAGCATGACCATTGTGCCCTGAGCCACGAATAAAATGCTGGAAAAGGCGAAGCCAGAGTAAGCCTCAGAAGCATAGCAACGGAAAATGGAGGTTGGCAGCGATTTGAAGTAAAGCACAAGGATGAACGGTCGCTATATCTGGAGGAGAAACTTCACAACGATTGCTGGAAGACATGGATTAATGGATGAAATTTGGTGTCAAATACTACCACAAACAAAGCTTGGTTTTGACTTAGACAAGTATTTTTAAGCGCCATGTTGTATTCGCTCCAAAACTGAAGTAAGGCTGAATGTTTATTTGTTTACAGGGCCTCAGACGCTTTCGATACAGTGCTTTCTTCATGCAATCAGATGAAGCATTGTAGCAAAAAAAGAAACAGCACTATTGCTGTTAGATTCTAGGGCGATCTGACTGCTGTTAGGTTGAAGATTGACTCAATTGGCTCGAACCCTGGAGGGTTCCAAAGTGAACAATAAGGTTTCTGTAATTTTAACTAAAAAAGCCATGTGTTAGCTGGCTCATCGAAGATGTTGCCCTCTATCACTTTACACCGGAGAGCGGTCAACACTAGCCGGCAGACGTTCAACTGGATCGTCACTAGGGACAGAGGCGACTGGCCGCCGAAATATAAATGTTCCGTTCCGGCCGGCAATGCATACACGTGCTATATCCTCACGCGCAGCACGTTTGAAAGAATAAAAGTTTGGAACCGTTTTGGCAAAATGTCGGTTATGATTCTCAAAAGATTGGAGAACATTGCACCAGTGAGCGGACGCACAACAAACGAGTGGCATGAAACACTTCAACTGCGATACATAGTAAGTTTAAGGTCTACTACAACTTGCGATTGGAAACTCAAGAAGAATACTAGAAGTAAAGTATGACTGTGGTAATTCGGGAACACAACTGAACACAGCAGACACAAACCCTACTTCATATTTTCTCAATTCATTTCTTCATCTCCAGAAAGTTCTATCTAGTGAATGTGAAGGTGTCGATGCAGCTAAACGTACCTGTTCATTGATTCTGAGAAATATCAGTTAAAACCGTGCACATTGTTGTAGAGTTATATTGATAAACCCGAATCATGTTCAAGAATATTATTTATGACAGAGGGGAGCATACCACTGGCATGCTGGTCTTGGCAAAGGTCTGCCAGTACTTTTGTGAATGTTTCACATTTCAAAAAACGATAGATCGGATCTTTCTTCATGCCGCTGTGGACTTAAAAAGGCCTTTAGCATTTTCATTGTTCTGCAATTATTTATTCTGATTCTATTTTATTTTAGAATGAGAAATACCACGAGCTTCAATAAAACTCGGCGGCGCAATTGGCTACGGGGCCAACCCTCCTGTATCAATTGCGTCAGATTCACGAAAACTTCCAGTTTCTTGGGACTTAGGCTTTGAGAAGAAAAGGGGATCCGAGCTGCGTCAGCAGTTTTGTGAGCTCCGGAACACGTTCCCTTTGCGTTGAGCTGAGTCCTACTGACCTTTCGCGAAACTGCCCCCCCTCCCCTCTTTCCCGGTGGCACATTGCCCCTAAAACTCATCACATAGTAAAAGAAAGGCGGCAACTATAACGTTCAACGACCCTCTCCAGTCTTACTGAAAAAGGTTGAATTCTGCATAGACCGTGCCACCTTGGGATCCACTGGTGCACAAGGGGTATTACTGAAGAGTTCGATAGCCTTAGTCCTTTTCTGTGCGTTGAAACGATCGCTGCGTTGGCCCATACGATAAGGATGATGTGATAAGAGAACCATCATCTGGATTTAGTTCTGTCATCACTAACGATGGCACATGCAAGATTTCGCAGATTCCAGGAAGCTGCTTCGTTTCACATAGTGGCCACCTTAGGCTAATCCACTAGAGGTCAACCGAACCCTTAGCTCCCAATTTCTCTTTATTTCGACTTTCATGTTCCTAGCAGAATCAAGCTCCATTTCCAAGACTGTCGTATTCACATTTGCCGAAACGTTGTATCACGTAGCAACTCACCAATCCACATTTTAGACCCGTTGCGCGTGAGGTACGGCACAGTGTGTGCATTGTCGCGGCGGTGCATTTTATTTGACGGAGGCAGACGCCTCCCTGCCACTAGTGACGATCGCGATCAACAGAGATCGTCCGTACGCCGCGCCGGCCGCTTGCGGTCACCTACGCGGCGTCCGTGCGATTCTCTTGACCGCTCCAATTCTCCAATAGCCGTGGGATTCTTGAATTTGACAGTTGGGATAGTGGATTTCTTACAGTCCACAGCGATCTTATTATGTGGGACGCGGATGACGAGTTCCAATCTACTTCCTCTGGCCGCTTTGTGGAAAATGGAGTGAACAAGTTTGCTCTCAAAGTTTATTATCGCAATATTGAAAACTCGAAAGGGAAGAAATAAGGTGCGAGGGAATTGAAATGGATCATTCAGCGTTAAACGACGTTCATTGTTAAGGGTACTGGTCTGCTTATCGTTCCTTTAAAACCTTAGATTGACGTACACTGATAATATTACGATTCGGTTAGGTACATCTTAGCCCCCAAACCCCCAATAACCAACACAAAACAGGTAAAGTTCCCTAGTTTCAATGTGACGTAGTGCGTGTTATTTCGCTCAGGAATGACCATCATAATTCGGGTTCCCGCGAAAAACCTCTTCATGTCTGCCATTCTCTCCAAAAGTACCGGTTCGGGCAGCTGTTATGGAACTTCTTTAATTGTTCGATTACCCAAGTGTACATAATGGAGCATCAGCAACGGTTTCAGTAGCCGACATGGGTTCTACAACATAGATCTTTTGAAGGTGAGCGGAGGACTACATGCAGTTGCAAATAAACACATACACCGTCAAAATTGTCAATTAGAACCTAAGCAATGAAGCCAAAATCGGACTGAGTCGTGTTGTTAGAGGCTGCTGGCTTTCTCAATACTCAGGTTTCACGTCGTGCCTTATCGTGATTTGTTCTTTCCGCCTCTCGATGTAGCCGGTTCGCATATGGTGGACGATCGTGTTGAAAACCCTGAAAATTGATTTTCGCACGAGGTGGTGTAGGTGTTGGTTCTTTCAGAGCCACATGAGTCTCAAAAAATAAATCTAAAAACCTATTCGTCTCAATTTATAACTACTTGTCAGCAGCAGATCGATTTTGTAACAACAACCTTCCCTCCCCCTGAAGCAAAGTTTTTACCATACTCTAGGTAAGCAAATGTGTGATTCTTTTCCGATTGTGTACTACTCTTTCTAGCGAGAGCGGCTCGCGATTTGATTTCCTTTAAGAGTTTGAGGTTAGAGATGGGCGTGGCAGAAACTTGGCGTCCGTTACCATGCGTGTGACCAAGTTGTACCTTAAAGCTTCTCAGACCAACCAAACCGTTCATCCCTTCGCGATCGATTATTCGACAGAACAGTTATGTCAAAAGATACAAATACCGACATACAACGGCTGGTTCTTAATTGATGATATTGACCAACTCAAAGGCCGGTGCGATTCGAGAGATTCCGCTTGCTTGGAATACAAAAACCACGCCTTCTAAAAAGGGCCTAACCTTTTGACATCGGGCGGAATTGGCCCTGAAGGCGGTTTTTTGGCCTTAGCCGTATACAAAAAATAAATAAAGATTTGAGCTTTCATATTGTAAATTGTTGGGAAGCGAACTGATTGTTTGGAAGGGGGACTCAAACTCAAAGGAATGGAGGGTAAAACTCGGAAGATCATATTTTGCAATAGAATTTTGATACATTTCAAACCCTTCCTTGTAGCCGAAGATTATCAAGATGGAGAAGTCCCGATCAGTAGTTAATCCTCAGTCTAGTAAACCAAAAGTAACCCAATGGTGGCACCCACCATTGGGTGCCAGTTTCCCATGAGGCGCATATAGTGGCACCCACCGGTGGGTGCCATTGTCACCAAAGGGTTGAATCGACGTCAAATGCTTTATTTCTCTAGGATTTTTGCAAAAAACCCAAATTCGTCAAAGAAGAAGTTACCTTTGCCATGCCAATATCATTTCTGCTCGTTTCAAATCGTCAGTGTAGTATTCACATAAGGTTTGGTCAACAGTCTCGGCCATACATACCTGAAAATTTTCGAGAAGTATGGGCTCCAATACTTTGGTGAACGAAGCTTTGGAACGTTTTCGGAACCTTTAAGACAAAAATGTCAGATTCCCAAAAGCGCATAAAGATTGGCAGAAACACGAGCAACGATGATTTTAGAAAATTGATTTTCAGTAGGTAAGTATGATTTGCCCTGTCATGTACCACCTCACCGCGGTGATAGGGTGTACACCGTTATGTGGTGCCAACGGTACAAACGGCTACGCAGTACGCATCACTGTATGTGTATGGGCGGCTCTTTTGTATCCCTAGCAAGGAACAAGAGTAACCAAGCCAACAAATTGCTCAAACAGCTATAACTGTGCCCCAGTCCTGCGCACACCGGAAATGCTCCCCTCGGGGGAAGCCTCTACTGGTGAGGGGCCATCTAATCTCGCAGGGGAACCAGGACGTGATCGGAATCGAAACACTGGAAACTCTCTCATAGGCCGACGTCATAGTTTGCGAATCGAACGTTGCACCAGCGAGTCGAACGATGTACCAGCGAGTCGAACTAGGTACCAGCGACTCAATAGTGGCGGGACCCAACGTTCAAAGGAAGCCCGCCACTTTCAAACAGTGTCACGTGACAGTGGACACTGTTTGAAAGTGGCGGGCTTCCTTTGAACGTTGGGTCCCGCCACTATTGAGTCGCTGGTACCTAGTTCGACTCGCTGGTGCATCGTTCGATTCGCTGGTGCAACGTTCGATTCGCTGGCGCAACGCTTGGATCGAGTGAACCAGGTAGCAAAGGCATGAACCAGGTAGCGAAGACATGAATCAAGGAGAGTGGTGAAAGCGGAGAGTTCGCTAGCGAATCGCTCGATTCGCAAACTATGACATTGGCCATACCACGACATAAGGACTGCCTCTTCGTATGTTCGTATAATTGTCGCACCATAGCATAAGAAGCTGCCCTTCGGACACTTTAATTTAAGGAGCCGACTAATCAGATACGATGTTATCGTTTACAACAAACAAACGACAATATGGAAATCATCAGAAAGAACCGACTGCAGGAGCAGGAACATAATTAATTGGACCCTTAAGGTAAATAACACATGAACTACCGAAACGCACTGTATGATACATCCAACCAAGCCTAGCTTGACAAAATCGCAAAGGCTTAACGTCTAAGCACTGAACACTCTTTCCAAGAGTTTATTTCATAATTTTCCGAAAAGCTTTTGGTATGTTATGATCGGGCAACTTCGATTAATGGCAAATGGCAAAGACACTTACTAATAGCGTAAGGTTGATCATTAATGAAGTAGAGGTGGGAGGTGCGGAACAAAGAAAGCAACAGAACCCCAACTATCGCTGAATAAGGCCTCATCCACCTCAGCCGCATTCCGCTTTAGGAATAAAGACAATATCACGAATTGGCTGACCTCAGTGAAAGATCACACTCGAGTCCACAAATGCCAATCACCTGCGGCCTCTTCCTACCAGCTCCAGCGGGGCATCCCAACAAGCGGGATTGGTGGGGGCCCTTGCCGGACGAACTTGTTGATGCGGTGGATGCCAAACTCGCATGCGCTATTGCGTGCATCCAACCTAGAGGGTACGGTACTACGTTTTTTTCCGCCTCTCTATCACGAACGGGCACGATGCAGGTAAATGCGCATAACCCCGGTCCATGCCTTCAACAAAAAAAATTCCTCCAGATCTAATCGCGACTCAAACCTTTACATTATTGGCGATTGAAAGCCAGCATCTAGAAATAGATGCCCTATTATTATAGTTATTCGCGGACTGATAACTCCTACACTTCTAGTTTCGGGTGAAAAGGGACATCGTGTGATTTCCGAAAATTAGGCAGAAAGGGTAAAAAGTGTCAAGTTTGTATACTACTGATAATCGCCTAAATGAATTTTAAGTTCTGTTGTGTGCACTGATTCTTGGGCTGACTAGCACAATTCGTTTGCGATGTCTTTTTCTTTTCTATGAATTCTGTGGCTTCACTCTCCATCTCCAGTTGTTTTACTTTGCCTTCAAAAACATAAAACATTGTTTCTGCCATAATCAAGAACACATCACTTACCAGAAATATGTCCCAAAAATTCGAGTTGAAACCACGTGCAATAAAATCGACATGGCGTGCGCCCAGTTCTTCGCAAGCGGTGCGCAGGTTATCGTCATCTAGTTGCATCGTTATTATCTGAAAGGATCCTATTTGTTACTATCTGACAAACGGCGGAAAAGCGCTTTGCGGGTCAGTCGTGGTGGCCAGCTGATTTCAGGTTTCCCAAGCCCCCCCCCCCCCCCCCGACTGATTCAATGGTCGATGGTGTCCGATGCGTTCAAGTTCCAAACTTCGACCCACTTCCAAATCTAGCGAGACGGTACAAGGGGATAAGCACATCACAATGCTGTTGAAAAGGCAAGGTTCGATACGATTCTCAACACTTTTCCAAATTTCGCCAGGTTTTTTCTCACGTTCCACAAAGAAGTCCCATGCTTACTATATTTACTAGACCCTATTTCTTAACACATTGCGGACCGCCGTTGTATGAGCACCTCCGTATCTTTTTTATATTTTTCAAAAATGAATCATCATTAATCTATCAACAATTTATCAGTGATGACACGTATGGTTTCCCAGCCTGAAAATGAGTGCAAACAGTTAAAAACATTGAAAAATGTCAATAAATCATATAAAACTATGTTCTTCGTGCAAAATCGTGCGCCACATGGTGATGCACGCGGTACGCAATATGTAAACACATTATTCTTCCCACATAAAAATCATAGATAGTATTGATAAATCCCCCATACCAATGCAATTAACCTCCCCTCTGTCGCCAACCTCCACCCATCTCTTCCCTAGTTCCTGGGCCCTCTCGAAACATAACTATAATGTGACAAAGTCTACCTAATTTGGTGCACACCCTGTCCACCATCAATATTTATACTTCTAGCTTCCCTCCTTCTGTAACCTCTATCCATTTTTTCCAGCCTCTAAGACTTCCCTGAACCGGACTATGAGGATTTCAAATTGACACTGCCCCGCCCACTGTTTGCGGGCTGACCTCCAGTTTAGGTATTCTGGAGACACCTTAGATACCAGCTCAGGTATGCAGGAGACACTTACCAGGAAAGCTCAACTTCCCGTGGTATTTAAATTGAGAAGTAGGTGAATTGATGGAGCCCGAATGGTCGGTTACGAGTATGACGAGCAAAACTGCTACGTGAACCTATGTAAAGGATATAGACGGTCAAAGTTGTTT